GTTCCTTAAAAAAGAAAACCCCCCCCCCCCCCCCCAACGTCGAGAATTCTCGGGCTGAAAGTGTAGTCCTGGGAGCATAAACTCTCTCTGAGATTCCAAAATTCAGCACCGAATGCTCCTCAGAGACCCTCCTTTATACAGAAAGATCAATGGTTTCGAAAATGGATTGCAGTCGTAAACTGCATCTGCCAATGTTCCCTTTGATAAAGGATGAGTCCTCCACGCAGAGGATGTTCCCTGGCATTCCTAAATTTTACAATGTCAATACACAAACATACAAAACAACATAAATTCACATTCTAAAGTTTGCGTTTCCCACAAAAGATTCAGTTTCTCTGACTTCATGACGTTGTTGTCGTTTTTGAGATAAGCCAGCCCCCCTAGCTGTTATCTCTTCTCAAGAATAGGGAGTAAGAACAATTTGCATTCCTCTGTGGCATCATTAAGGCTAATTGAACTGCTCATGACGAATGTTGCCCTCCGTTAAGTGTAAATTACCTCCCACCTCTGGTCAGCTCAGTTCCCATGGGAAGTGTGCTGCTTACTTTTGCCTACGTGCCTTAGGGCGAAATGCACTTTGGGAGTTTGGTTCTGTAATATACCCAGTTCAGACCACGTGGCCAGGTTGGGCTCCACGCGGTCAAGCACAAACATCGAGCTTCGCTCAAAAAGACAATGGACTATGCAGATCCTAGCCCACACCAATCAGGGGGCTAGGTTCCCGGCCGAGAGCCTATGGAACTCTCGGCCATTGTAAATAACCTATTGGGAAGTGGGGGGTGTTATGGGTGGCGGTTTCACGGGCAATATAAGCCGGCCTGCGAGCTGGCTAGAGTTGTCTTGTTCCAGATCTAATAAAGTACGCTAAGCTGAAATCACTCTCCATCTGTGTACTTTTCAGGTTCCCTCTGAGTCTCATTGTTACAGCTAAAAGACACAATTTTCTGGCCGGAATAGGGAAATTCTTACAACACTCCAGACCATAGGACAGCCTACACAGCCTAAGGACTAGAAACTTCCTTTAAAAGCAAACTCGAGAGCGGAGGTTGTCTCAGGCTCCCCACACCGTATCTCGGGTTCGCCGGAGGCAGTCACAGGATATACCAAGCCCTGAATTCCCCCTCATATCTTCTGGCTCCAGCTCAGCAGTCCCGTTGCTGTGGCCTTTCATGCCCACAGCCTCCCGCCTCCTCACCTGGGCTGCACGATCTGTCCTTCTTGCACCTGGTGCGGCTGGAGAGCTCCGCACAGGAGGTGGGGCAGGGGGCGCACTTCCGGCTCACCAGCTCCCCGGGGCAGGTGGAAGCGTTGCGGCATCCTTCCAGTTGGCAGGGCTCTGCAGAGGTGGGGGTGGGAGAGGAAACAGTGTGGAGAGGCTGACCCCTGCTGTAAGGTTATGGGACGGGGGAGGGGGTGCCCATGAAGGGGGGCAGAGAATGGGAAAGGAAGTCCAGAGGAGGGGAGGGAGGGGAGCTTCCGACATCTGACAAGATGGAGATGGGGCAGGTCAGGGCAGGACAGACCTTCAGAGGTGGTTGGCCATGGCCTGTCTCTGCACAGCGACCCCGGACTCCCTTGGTGGTCTCCCGGCCAGAGACTAACCAGGGACCACCCTGTACAAGATCTGATGCATGCAGGCTAGCCTGGGTGAAATGGGACTTTTTAATGGGGTTCAGCATCTCGCTTTGGCTGTGCTGAGCCGGCCGCCCGGGCCAAGCAGCGACACGCTCTCCATTTCCTCTCTGGCAGAATCCCCATCAGGGCGATGGAGGGGGCCACCTTGTGGGAGAGAAAGGGGGCACTTTGGCCCCTGCGAGGGAGGATCCTCCATTGCTTCCCAAAGGGCAGAGAAACCTGCTTCACCCCACTGCCTGCCTGCCTGCCTGCCTGCCAGGACGCCTCCTCGGGGTCTTCCTTCCTCAGGGGGCAGCCGGGCCTCCTCCTCCCTCTCCCCACCTCACCCCCACCAACTCACTGATCTCGACGGTGCTGGAGGAAGCCTCTGGCGTCTCTGTGCAGTGGCGGCCCCCGTTCTGGGGCGGCAGGCACTCCCGGCGTCGCACCACCACCCCACGGCAGTCCCGCGTGCAGTTCGACCACGCCGTCCACTCAGTCCACGTGCCGTCCACTGCGTGGGAGAGGGAAACAAAGGCTGGTGGGGCGAAGCACCCATCGTGACCTTGAGGGCAGCAGTCAACCTCTCTGGCGGCGGTCTCACCCAAGGGTGCCATCGGAGGCCCCCCCGGCTGCTGCCCCCGCAGGCTGCTGCACTGCTTAGGAGCCAGAGCCGGCCGTGGGGCACGGGTGGCTTGCCCTGCAGTGCTTCAAGGTGCCCAGGGAGGGAGCAACGTGAGGGACAGCAGCTGCGGAGGCCACGGACTTCTCTCTGGGTCACTCCAAAGGCAGGGGACTGGCGCTGCAACTGGCACAGAGGACTCTGCTGGTTACCAGTCAGACATAACACAGCACTAAGTCCGTCTGCTGCCAGATCACTCACACAGGAAAACACAGGAAGCTGTTTTCTACGGAATCAGACTTTTGGTCCATCTAGGTCAGTCTTGTCTGCCCAGACTGGCAGCGGCGCTCTCTCTCTCTCTCTCTCTCTCTCTCTCTCTCTCTCTCTCCCCCCCCCTCCAGGGTCTCAGGCAGAAGAGGTCCTTCACATCCCCTATGGCCTCATCTGTTTTAACTGGAGATGGCAGGGATGGAACCCGGGTCCTTCTTCATACCCAGCAGAGGCTCTGCCCTTCAGCCCTAGAACCACCCACACTGTGTCAGCTATGCTGCCACAATGGCTGATTTGTGTCTTCTTTCAGGTCTGGCTATTTTTGGGCAGGAACGCACAGGAACGGAGTTCCGGCTGGCTCCCGAGTTGGCCACGCCCAGCAGGGACTCATTAGCATAATAGTCCACACCCAACAGCAGGAACTCATTAGGATTGGCTACGTTAGGGGTGTGTGGCCTAACATGCAAAGGAGTTCCTGCTACAAAAAAAGGCCCTGGGTTTTGACAACAAACAAGGTAAACAGAATAAGAAGGGAAAGGTGGGTGTGGCTGGATGACCACACTTCTGGTAACATGTGGGTGTGGCCTAATGTGCTAATGAGCTGTGCTGTCAGGGGTGTGGCCCAATATGCTAATGAGTTCCTGCTGTTGGGTGTGGCCTATTATGCTAATGAGTTCCTGCTGGGCTTTTTCTATAAAAAGAGCCCTGTTGGTTTCGATTCTCAGTATTCCTGTTGTCACTGTTTGACCTTGGTGTCTGCTGCACTGCTTTCCCTTGGAATGTGAACCCGTTAGTTTTAGGCGGGCAAAGGCTTCTTCCCCGATTGGCTTTGAGTCATCAGGAGACCCCGCTTTGAACCAGGTATAATTGACCCTTTCCCGCTTGTTGAATTAGTTCTGACACTGGACGTGGATGGATGACTCGCCTATTCCGGAACAATGAACTGAAACTTCATTGAAAGCCTGTGGTTGATTCCTGATTGCTGCAAGACTCTGACACACTGGACATAAATGGCAGCTGACTCCATGCTGGTGAAAACCAGCTACTGAGTCTCAGGCTCCTGAACTGAGGAGTCTGGAGACGGAGTCAAGGGGCCTGGCCTGTATTGGCAGGTGGTCCCAGGTGAAATGGGAAATCACACGCTTTCTTGTCTATGGGTCAAAAGACACCTGGGATGCCTTTGAAGCCAACCCCTGAGTAACTGCAGTGCTACTTGGGTGGGATATCCAGGCCTGTAAAAAACACCAGTTTTCAGGAATCGTGTCTTAAGAACTGGGGTGAATTGCGGTGACAATAAATGAAGCTCTAGGACTTCTAGGCAAAATAAAAAACCAGTAAGTCTCCAGGCCTGGATGGAATTCAGCTTAAGTTGCTTAAAGATCTACAATGAAAAACTGTTGCTTAAGTAACCACTGTGGTATATTTATTGTATACATGTGTATGTATGTAATGGAACAGTCTACTCCTCCCCTAATATCTGGGTGATTTAGTTTGGTCCTATTGGGTGCAGCTCTTGTTTCAGTTTCCAGTTTTTGTATGTTAGCCGTAGTCGTTGATTGGGAGAGTTCTCCCCCTGCAAATAAACAGTTGGTGTTGGACCCCCGCCCCTGGCCCAGCCCAGCCCTTGCAGCTGCACCTTTCTCACCTGGGCAGGCCACCGCGAAGCACTGCTGCGCCTGGGTCTCCTCGCCCAGGCAGTGCCGCAGGACGTCGTCTGCCCGCCTGGTGCAGGTCCTCCGGCGGACCTGGAGGCCGGTTCCGCAGGAGCGGCTACAGGAGCTCCAGGGGGCCCAAGGGGCCCAGAGGCCACAGTCCCACTCGTCTGATGGGAGCCAGCCAGAGGCCTCACTGCCGTCAGCACAGTCGGCCAGACCGTTGCACACCTATGAGGAGAGAGAGAAGGGGGAGGGTTGGATGGGAACGGTGTTTCCTCTGAGCTGAGTTAGTGTGAACTCCCAGTCTTTTAGCCTCCAACTTACAAATTTTCGTCTCTGCTCGGGAAGGAGGGCTCCAGAGCAAACTGATTGATGCAGCAGCCAAATCTCTCGCTCACAACTTTAATGCCAGCAGCTCACAAAGTAGGATTTTTGCTCACAAGACCCTCCACAGCTTAGAGGGAGCATTGGATGGGGATATGGGGCAAGGGGTGGGGCTGGCAGCCTGGAAGTGGGGGGCTGGGGGAGGGGAGAGGCTGCGGCCTGTGGAAGCTTCGCAGATGGGACCTGAAGAAGTTTCCCCTCTTCTCTTTGTTTGTCCCCAGCAGCTGGTCCCCAGTTAAGTGCACCCTTTTCTCATAAGGAAGACACTCTTGGGAGTAAAATGATATTTCACTGCCACCTTGTGGCAGTGAGTTCCACAGGTGAGCTTTGCCTTCTCTAGCCTCAGTCATCATTCTGTGTCTTCTCTGCTTCCTAGGTTATTGTATTTAGGACTGCATTCATATAAGCTTACCAGCAGTCCTGAGCTGTGATTTCAAATTTTGGTTTTTAATGTATTTTATTCGGTGTCTTTTACCTGTGTGGTTTGCCACCTCGAGCTCCATAATGGAAGACAGGCGGCTAATTAATCTTTTAAATGAATAATCAATGAATGAATCTCCATGGATGGTCCTGAAATCATTTTGTTTCTTTTTAAAGGTCAGAATAATCTCACTCTTTTTACACTTGTCAAGAATGTACAAAGTTCATTTGTACCCCTTCATACAGTGGTATTATTCCCCCTCAGGAAAGAAAAACCCAGTTAAGTGCACCTTTTTCCTCATAAGGAAGACACTCTTGGGAGTAAAATGATATTTCACCTCAGGTGACTGTGTTAACCCCCCCTCCACTGCTATGTGAATGTTGGCTTTATACTCTGTGAATGCTCAGAGGTTCAACTCAAGCTATCTCCACGGGCAGTCTGGCCAAAAGAAAGGGCCAGAGACTGGCCATGAATTCAGACTGGAAAGACAGAGGAGAACCCTCAGGACAGGTGTCGCCTGAGAATATGTGAGGCATGGGGGTGGGGGGCGCCTTCGGGCCTTCAGAGTTTGCAGAATTGTCTAGTGTTTCCCCTTCTTTTCTAGAGGGAGGGGTTTGGGCAACCTGTGGGAAGAAGCGGCTCTCCTTTTAAGAAGGGGGCAGTAGGGGTACCAACCTCCAGGTGGGGGGGGTCTCTGGAGATCTCCTGGCATTACAACAGCTCCCCAGACGAGGACAAAGATCAGTTCGCCTGGAGAAAATGGCTGCTTTGGAGGGCGGAGTCTATGCCACTGAGGTCCTGCCCCATCCTCGGCTCCACCCCCAAAACCCCCAGGTATTTCCCAACCCAGGGTTGGCAACCACAAGGGGCGGGCGACCAACCACCCTTCTGAGAGCCAGACGGTGTGTGGGGGGACTCTGAAGGAGGGCTGGCCAGCCCCCCAAGTGGAGGAAGCCCCCGGAGCTTCCAAGAGGTGTTTCTCTGGGGTGGGGGGGAGGGGACTTTGAGCCAGAGGATCCCAAGAGGAAGGGCCTTGAGACAGGCCCCCAGTCTGCATGCCCACCTGTTTAAAGGCAATGCAGCCGCCGTCCCCGCAGGAGTATTCTGCGCAGGGTCCCTCCGTTCGGTTCCTCTCGCCGGGTGGAGCCACGCGGCTTGCTAAGCGGTTGGGTTGCAAGGAGCAGCTGTGAGAGGCACAAGAGCCAAGCAAGCGGGACAGCCCCACCCGCCCCACCCCAAGCTCTCCTGTCCGTCTTTCAAAGGCATCTCCACAGCATCCGGGTGGGCCGGCCCAGCCCCCTTCCCCCACCAGGTGCAAAAGAAGGGTCATTTCCTGCGGGAGCACACAGGAGCGTGCTCCAGCAGTAAGGAGCCCAGGGGGCAGGCACATGCAACACACTCCGCCCCCTGCTCCCAGCAGCCCTCAGTTGGGCCACGAGGAGCAAGAAGCAGCCAGGTAAGTTGCAGAGTTGTCCCCCCCCCATCCTGCCTTCAGGTACAAGCTCTCCCTCCTCTGTGAGGGCAGATCTGTGAGTCCCCCCCCCAACAGCTAGCAATCCAAAAGAGTCCAGTGGAGCCTGAGCGGTGGGTGTTGCCTTCTGACACACTTCCGGTGATGTCAGGGGGTGTGGCCTACGCAGATGAGTTATGCTAATGAGGGATGCTAATGAGCTCCTGCACCTCTTTTTCTACAAAATGACCCCTGTGCAAAAGTAAATTCTGGAGGAGGAAGAGGAGATTGTATTTATACCCCATGGCCCTTCACTATCCAAAGTGAGACTCCTTACAGCTTACAATCTCCTTCCCTTCCTCTCCCCACAACAGACACCCTGTGAGGCAGGTGGGGCTGAGAGAGCTGTGACTGGCCCAGGGTCACCCAGCTGGCTGCATGTGGAGGAGGAGTGGGGAATCAAGTCAGGTTCTCCCAGATTAGAGTCCTCTTAACCACTACACTCTTCTTAACCCCTACACCGAACTGGTCCTCACGACGCCTGGGAGTCGCAGCGCCACTGACGGCCGCTGGGGTTCCTTACCACAGGCCAGCTCGTCGTCTCCCTGGGGACAGTCGGGGGAACCGTCACACACCCTGGAGACATTGATGCACATGCGGTTGTTGCAAATGAAGAACCCCGGGCAGGGCGGGATCTGGGTGGAGCCTGTCCCAGGACAGAAGCGCGGGGAGAGAAGGCAGCCGGTTGTGACGGGAACAGATCCAGACCCTTTCCCCTCCTCACCCCCGCACTCTCCACCTCCCTCCCTCCCCTTCTTGATCTTCCTCTTCTCAGTGCTGAGACTGTAAGCTCCTCGGTCTGTGGATCTGTTGTTCTTGGAATAGCGCTAGGAACACCAGGATGACTCTAGAGTAGCAGGCCAGGTGGGGTGTTTGCCGAGCAAGCATTCTGATTGGCCGCTGGGGATTTGATTGGCTGAGCAGATATTTAAGAATACAAGGATCTTACAGTAAGCTGCGGCAGCCATTTTGTGGCCGGCTTCACCTCTGGTGGCAGCCATTTTGTGGCCGAGCCCACCACCCTGTGCCAGAACTGCAAAGTTGCCCACAGGCTCAAAATGGTTGGGGCCCCTGCTCTAGAGGGTGAACGGATATAACCAGGGGTCATTTCCTGCGGGAGCACACAGGAGCGGAGCTCTGGCAGTAAGGAGCCCAGTGGGTGGGCACATGCAACAAGCCCCTCCCCCTGCTCCCAGCAGCCCTCAGTCAGGCCACGAGGAGCAAGAAGCAGCCAGGTAAGTTGCAGAGCCCCCCTCCCGCCCACCTTCAGGTACCAGCTCTCCCTCCTCTGTGAGGGCAGATCTGCACGTCCCCCCCCCCCCCAACAGCTAGCAATCCAAAAGAGTCCAGTGGAGCCTGAGCGGTGGGTGTTGCCTTCTGACACACTTCCGGTGATGTCAGGGTGTGTGGCATATGCAAATAAGTTGTGCTAATAAGTTATGCTAATGAGCTCCTGTACCTCTTTTTCCACGAAATGACCCCTGGATATAACTACAACTGCAGTCACTGAAGTGATCCCATTGGACTTCTCTATATCAAGTAAATATATCCTGAGGTTCCGCAGAAGTAAAAGAAGAAGAGATTGGATTTATACCCCACCCTTCACTACCCAAAGGAGTCTCAGAGCGGCTTACAAACTCCTTTCCCTTCCCCTCCCCACAACACACAGACACCCTGCAAGGTAGGCGGGGCTGAGAGAACTCTCCCGAGGACTGCCCTTGAGAGAACAGCTCTGAGAGAACTATGGCTTGCCCAAGGTCATCCAGCAGCTGCAAGTGGAGGAGTGGGGAATCAAACCCGGTTCTCACAGATTAGAGTCCACACTTAACCACTACACTAACCACTACACCAAACAAAAAGCAGGGGACAGAGCAGAGGAGGGAAATCAGAGTGGGTCAGCGTATTCAGGAAAATGACACGGCATAGCTTTTCTGGCACTATACCACTTCAGAAAGGAGGTGGGAGAAATCACTTCAGTGGAAGCTCAGCCTTGACAGAAACTGTCCTGTAGCAGCACATCCAAAAGATGCTTAGTTTTCCCCTCGACGTTGTAGCATTCTAGAGGCCTAGGGTTAGGGGAGCATTCACACCTGCAACTCCTCCAGCATCCTAAAATGGTACAATCCAAGTAGGGCTATATCATGCAATCTGCCTGAATGCGTATATCAGCACTAACAAATGGTGCAGAGATTGGCCATCAAGGACACAACGCAGACTGGTCCGTCCCCAGTCAGACCCGGGTGTTTGAGGCGCCCCCCCCCCCGCCACTTGGGCAGCCACTTACCACAGGTGTCGACGCTCTCGTCGGACTGGTCCTGGCAGTGGGACGCTCCGTCACACAGGCGGCTGTAGTGGATGCATTCGTTGCCAAGCTGGCAGGGGAACTGGTCGAGCCCACACGGGCGGCTGCAGTTCAGTTCGTCGCTGCCGTCCAGGCAGTCGGCTTCGTCGTCGCACACCCAGCCGCGCGGCTGGCATTCCCCGCTGTGGCAGTGGAACTCGTACCGGCCACAGGGTGGCACTGCAGAGGGAAGGAGGGAGGGCAGTTCCCGGACCGCTCCGGAGGTGTCTGCTGCCCCAGTCTGCCTGGCAGAGTCATCGATCTCCTCCCTCATCTCCATTCTGAGCCTCTTCCTCATCCTTCTCCTGTGTCCCTCAAGACCTTCGTTCCCTTATCCCCGCCTCTCTGAACACGTGAAGCTGCCTTCTACCAGGGGTCAGACCCTGATCAATCAAGGTCAGTCGTGCCATTTAGGGAAGGAGCCATGGCTCAGGGGTACAGCATCTGCTTGGCACAGGGGAGGCCCCAGGTTCAATCCCTGGCAGTGTCTCCAGTTCATAAAGGGCCGGGCAGGAGGTGTTGTGAGAGACCCTCTGCCTGAGGCCCTGGAGTGCGGCTGCCAGTCCGAGTAGACGAGACTGACTGGGATGGACTGATGGTCTGATTCAGCGTAAGACAGCGTAAGACAGGTGTTCAGATGAATTTATTAGTCGACTCGGACTGGCAGTGGCTCTCCAGGATCTCAGGCAGAAGAGAAGAAGAGATTGGATTTATACCCCCCGGCCCTTCACTACCCAAAGGAGTCTCAGAGCGGCTTACAAACTCCTCTCCCTTCCCCTCCCCACAACAGACACCCTGTGAGGTAGGTGGGGCTGAGAGAGCCCTTTCAAGGATTGCTCTTGAGAGAACAGCTCTGAGAGAACTTGTGACTGACCCAAGGTCATCTAGCAGCTGAGAGTGGAGGAGTGGGGAATCAAACCCGGTTCTCCCATATTAGAGTCCGCGCACTTAACCACTACACCAAACTGAAAAACAGGAGGAGGAGGAGATTGGACTTATACCCCATGGCCCTTCACTACCGAAGGGAGTCTCAGAGCGGCTTACAAACTCCTTTCCCTTCCCCTCCCCACAACAGGCACCCTGTGAGGTAGGTGGGGCTGAGAGAGCCCTTTCGAGGATTGCTCTTGAGAGAACAGCTCTGAGAGAACTTGTGACTGACCCAAGGTCATCTAGCAGCTGAGAGTGGAGGAGTGGGGAATCAAACCCGGTTCTCCCATATTAGAGTCCGCGCACTTAACCACTACACCAAACTGAAGAACAGGAGGAGGAGGAGATTGGACTTATACCCCATGGCCCTTCACTACCTAAGGGAGTCTCAGAGCGGCTTACAAACTCCTTTCCCTTCCCCTCCCCACAACAGGCACCCTGTTAGGTAGGCGGGGCTGAGAGGGCTCTTGACAGAAACTGCTCTTTTTCAAGAACAGCTCTTATCAGAACTAGGGCTTGCCCAAGGTCATCCAGCCAGGTGCATGTGGAGGAGTGGGAGAATCAAACCCGGTTCTCCCAGATTAGAGTCCGCGCACTTAACCACTCCACCAGACTGGCTCTCAAAAGAGAGAAAGGTCTTTCGCCATGACTTCATCTTCTGAATTGGAGATGTTGGGGATTGAGCCCCGGGGCCTTCTGCACGTAAACCAGATGCTCTGCCACTGAGCCCCGTCTCCTCCTCTTCCTGCCTCCTGCCCTGCTGGGAACAGCCTCCTCTGTCTCCCGAAACTATT